GTTCCCTATTGCTACCATTTGTTTCCTGACGGCTGTAAGTATCGTTGAAAAAGCAGCCTCTTTAAATGTTGATAAGTATCCTTTTAATTATAATTACACGACCGTGTTGGTTTTTTTACGGTTGTGCTGCATGGCTTTCCGACGGGGTTCAAGTCATACTGCGTCCCGTGATGTCCGACGCGTAGCTCTATGCTCTGGGAGCTTCTTCTGAAAAAAGGCATCTGTCAATACATATTCTAAGGCATGTTTTTGAAAATAAGTAGATTTTTTTTCTTTTATACTTTTAGCGAATGATAGCCCTTTTTTTTAGCCGTTGCACAATCTCATGGTTTCCATCCATTGGTCCCGAGGTGTTCGTAGACAGGATTTGGAAACACTGCCACACAAACAAACATGCGTCCTCCTCCATGTAGGAACTGACAAAATCCCATACAAAGTCTGTGAGGACCTGCAGTGTATGCAGATTGATGCGGTGCTCAGCATTCGGACCACAAGCTGGGACTTTTTCCCAGCGGGTCTCATCGGCTTTTTTTTTCTTTCTGTGGTGGCAGCAGCGTCGTAATCGGTACGATTCAGAGGATTAGCTTGGTCGGCATTGGACATCATGCAAGGAATGAAATGGGCCCTTCTCTCCCCATGTCCAATTTCAGCCCCAGCTGCGAAGCCTGGTGTACTCGCCCCTCCGAATTCGCGGAACCCCGGTCCGTGCACTCTATAGCTAAGTCACCGGTCCGATTCCAGGCCTCGACACAGTTGTGTACAGAACCTGGCCTGAGCCGCCGCTATGTTGAATCGGCCTAAAACAATGTGGTGAGCATCATAATACCGTCGTCGTTGTACTGTGCTTTTCATTTCAAAGGTGCCTGCTAGCAGCACTTATCCCACGAGTCTATGGCTAAATATGGCTCTCTATTATCACATGCAAATAGACTACAACTTGACTTTTCTCGAGTCATTCGTCTGTAGAGCCGTAAAATACTTTAAAAAAATGGATTGTCAATGACGGAATAAATACTTGAGGTTTTAGCAGGCTGTTTGCAAGTTGTATACAGTAATAACGTATGAGCATAATCCTAATTAATATACTTACGGCTGCTCTGACAGAAAGGCTTTATTTTCAAGAACTTACCCTGGCCACAATTTGTAGTTTAAATATGAATAACAACGTTCAGCCCTTGGTAAATACGCTCGCTGGATGAAGGTCTTCCCAAGTCACGTCGATTTGGGAGTGGGTGAGGGGGTGTTTGCCCATATTTCACCACGCTGGTTAGTGTGAGTTGGTTAAGGGGGAGACACGCAGGACTGATTCAGGTATCACTTAATATTGATCTAAGCCACCGTCGGGAATCGAACCCAGATCCCTGGGGTGAATAGTGCAGTGCATTAACCACTGTGCCACCGTTCCATACCCAATTGTAAATTTCAACTGGCAAAACTGTGTGGAATTCAATAACGAGCACTGTATATTTAAGATTTACGGGGGAAATAATGCAGCACTGACATTACAGGCAATTATCCGTGTGGAGCACGGAAAATTGCAACTCGTTTCACAAGCATAAAAATACAGCAACGGTTTTTATTTTTTTTTCTGTAAATTAAATGTTTCCTTGAACAAGCAGAACTCCAATGTTATTGGCACTGTGTCCATATGTCGGTGTGTGTGCAATGCTACACGGAGAATACCAATGTGGCTCTGTTGCTCCTTAGCGAGATAAATAATGTATGCGATATTGGTTTTATTTAAGCCAAGCCTGTTTGATCAGTGTGGCAGGCGCGGTTTCCGTGAATTTTATATATTCGTAATGCATCGGATAATATTCATGAGTGGATTCTCGATATATGCATATATTAAACATGTTGTAAATATTACATCGAGCGCGGGGTTGTGCAGAGTGTGGATGCTCTTCGTCTACACTCGGAAGGGGCTTTGAGTTCCAATCGCTGGTGGGCATCGACACGGCCTGTCATCCCCTCCGGAGAAGATAAAATGAGTAAGGGGCCGTCCATAAATGACGCACCTGGGGGGGGGGGGGGGGTCAGGCATTTGTGACGATGTGTTACGAGGGGGGGGGGGGGTGAAAAATGTGACGTCACATCAAAATATACTTTTTTTATAAATGTTTTCTCCTACAACACCAGAGTGCAGCGCCACATTAAATACGCACTACAATGACAATAATTTAAAGCGATTTGAAAATTGTTTTATATATGTTTGGGGGGGGGGGGGGCAGAGCTTTGTGACATCATTTGAGGGGGGGGGGGTCTGACTTTTTGTGACGCCGTGCAACGAGGGGGGGGGGGGGGCAAAAATCGTCCAAAATTGCGTGACGTCATTTATGGACGGCCCCTAACCACTTCCAGTGGTTGACGTGCGAACTTCGGTCGTGCCGTTGTAATGTGGTGCAGTCGTTCCGCCACTGGAGCCTCAGCTACACACATCACACCGCTCGGGCTCACGCACACAGACTCCGCTATTGACAAACAGGACACTCTATGCCTATTGTGGTACCACAATAGGCAAAGACCCCCCGTATAGCCTTAACAGACTATAGGGGGCAAGTGCTGTGAGCGAGCACCTTTGAAGGCCGGAACGGAACACGAGGGGGTGGGTGGCCAGCAACACGCCCGGCCGCCTTTGTCTCCCCCAGTGGCGATGTTTACGCACCGCACCAGGTACTCATTTGAGGCTGAGCCGACCTGGGGGAGGCCCAGGACCGGTTCAGATAATCGTCACTGGTGTTGGCCGTGAGGTGAGCGGGAATCGAACTCGGGACGCCGGGTTCGTAGGGCAGCGCGCTAACCGCTGCACCACCGCTCCCACTGCACAAACAACCATTGGTACACACAGCCTGCACCAAACCACACAGTACTATAGTGCACACACACACTGTGGTACACACACACACACTAGCACTGTGGTACACACACACACTAGCACTGTGGTACACACACACACTAGCACTGTGGTACACACACACACTACCACTGTGGTGTACACACACACACACTACCACTGTGGTGTACACACACACTACCACTGTGGTGTACACACACACACACTACCACTGTGGTGTACACACACACATTAGCACTGTGGTGTACACACACACACGCTACCACTGTGGTACACACATACACACTAGCACTGTGGTACACACACACACTAGCACTGTGGTACACACACACACTAGCACTGTAGTACACACACACACTAGCACTGTGGTGTACACACACACACACACTACCACTGTGGTGTACACACACACACACTACCACTGTGGTACACACACACACTACCACTGTGGTGTACACACACACACACTAGCACTGTGGTGTACACACACACACTACCACTGTGGTACACACACACACACTAGCACTGTGGTGTACACACACACACACTACCACTGTGGTGTACACACACACACTACCACTGTGGTGTACACACACACACACACTACCACTGTGGTGTACACACACACACACACACTACCACTGTGATGTACACACACACACACTAGCACTGTGGTGTACACACACTACCACTGGGGTGTACACACACACACTAGCACTGTGGTACACACACACACTAGCACTGTGGTACACACACACACACTTCCACTGTGGTACACACACACACACTAGCACTGTGATACACACACACACTCCCACTGTGGTGTACACACACACACACACTAGCACTGTGATACACACACACACACACACTGTGGTACACACACACACACTAGCACTGTGGTAGACACACACACTACCACTGTGGTACACACACACACTACCACTGTGGTGTACACACACACACACTGTGGTACACACACACACTGTGGTACACACACACACACTGTGGTACACACACACACACACTACCACTGTGGTACACACACACTGTGGTACACACACACACACACTGTGGTACACACACACACACACTAGCACTGTGGTACACACACACACTACCACTGTGGTACACACACACACTAGCACTGTGGTGTACACACACACACTATGGTACACACACACTACCACTGTGGTACACACACACACTACCACTGTGGTGTACACACACACACACTGTGGTACACACACACACTGTGGTACACACACACACACTGTGGTACACACACACACTGTGGTACACACACACACACACTGTGGTACACACACACTACCACTGTGGTACACACACACACTGTGGTACACACACACACACACTAGCACTGTGGTACACACACACACACACTACCACTGTGGTACACACACACACACACTGTGGTACACACACACACACTAGCACTGTGGTACACACACACACTAGCACTGTGGTACACACACACACTAGCACTGTGGTACACACACACTACCACTGTGGTACACACACACACACACTAGCACTGTGGTGTACACACACACTGTCTTCTTCACCGATGGGTATTTAACGTCTCGTCGTCGTTTCTGTGCGAAGGGGGCTCCGGGCGTCATCGCTGTCCGCGCCCTGCGCGTCGTCGCTGCCCCCACACAACCCCCCCGCCCCCGCCCCTCCCCCCCGCGGCACTGCTGCCCCCACACAACCCCCCCGCCCCCGCCCCTCCCCCCCGCGGCACTGCTGCCCCCACACAACCCCCCCCGCCCCCCCCCGCCCCCCGTGTCACTGCTGCCCCCACACAACCCCCCCGCCCCTCCCCCCCCCCGTGTCACTGCTGCCCCCACACAACCCCCCCGCCCCCCGCGTCACTGCTGCCACCATACAACCCCCCCGCCCCCCCCGCCCCCGTGTCACTGCTGCCCCCATACAACCCCCCCGCCCCCCCCGTCGTCGCTGCCCCCACACAACCCCCGCCCCTCCCTCCCGCCCCTCCCCCCCGCCCCCGCGTCACTGCTGCCCCCACACAACCCCCCCCGCCCCTCCCCCCCGCCCCCCCGCGGGGTCGCTCACGCATCGCCATGCACGCCACGTCGCGCCGCCCCGCGCGTCACAGCCTCACGTCGTCGGTGTCGCGGCGGCGGCGGCGGCCTGCCGGGTGGACGTCGTGGCGATGCCTGCCCGCAATCCCACCCCCCCATCCCGCAGCCGCCGCTGCTGCCGCTGCGGGTGCTTCTGCAGCGTTTTCCCACCAATACGCAATGGGGGGTGGGGGGGGGGTAACGCTATCGGTTGCGCTCAATCCGCTGCTGGACGAAGGCCACACACACACCCCACCCACCACCCACAAACCGCCACGGTTCTGGAATGATTCGTGACAAAAGTCCACCCGGTGACCTTGCGCGAGAGGTCAACTTCGCCGCTCCTTCTCTTCTCCTTTTGGTGGACCTTCTCGCCGGGCGCCTTCCACGCAGCAATCGGCTGTCGCTCCGTCATTGTACGCGGGGCACCGTGGGCCATCGATCCTTCGTGCCGCGTGTCCTGCCCCAACACGCTCAATCTTCGGACCCGTCTGAATCACGTCGTGCGCGTTCTCTCATTCGAGTGTTCCTCTCGCTGATATTCCAGACATTCCAAGCGTGCGTTTTCTCTGCGCTTCTTTGCCCACTTTTCAGTTTTGTAAATACTCATTGGGTATTTGACCAAATGCCTTTTGCAGGGTCATCGTCAAAAGTAAAAGTGTCTTGACACTAATCTGAGGCCTTCCTCAGAAAAGAAGGTTACGACATTATTTGTAAGGCAAATTTGGCCAAAATAAACATTCTTTATAACTCGAGGATGCGTGAAGAGAAGAACAGCGTCAAGAATTTAACAAAGAGACGATCGCTATTTTGGAGGGGCTGTTCACTGAAGCTTCTGATACTCTCCGATCGTCACAATCATGCAACAGGAAGGGTGATGGGCCCTATATTGCCTCGACGGGCAATTGGGAAGTGGTCGTCTCCCCACGGGTCCAGCGACCGGCGGGGAAGACCTAGAGCCAGGTGGTAGGAAACTGGTCAGGGGGCATGTCGTGGAGGTCACCTCGTTGTCTCCTGCGCAGCTGCTGCGAGATCTGGCGGAGGGTAGAGAGCGTTGTTGACGTTGCGGTGGCATCGTCGGCGGTGGCGCTTTGGCTACGATGGCGTCTTGATGTTCAGTAAAGAGAATGGCGGTCATTTTTATGAAAGGAAAACGGCCGATGTATGTAAAAAAAGAACTGGGTGTCATTTTCTTACATTGTCCAAACAGTATCGATCCATGGTTGATGCAGGCGTTTACATCTACTTCCGTAGATGAAAACACCCCCCTTTAACTCTCAAATGTCGATTTGCAGTCACAAGCCAGCGTGTCCTTAATTAAAATAGTAACCAACTTAAATCGCTTGTCAATTCACCACTAGATGTAGGTCTCTCCACGTCCTGTCGTTCGTGGTGGTGGGGGAGGGGGAAGAGTGAGGGGTTGTCTGACCATGCTTCACCACGCTGGCGAGTGCGGGTCGGTGAAGGTGGAGAGAGACCCAGGACCAATTTAGAGTTCACTCGGCACTCATGTTTAACCGTGGGCAGGAATCGATCTCGGTTCACCAGGTTCACGGTGCAGGGAGCTGGCTGCTGCGCTTGCGTGTCGCTAATATGGGTTTCAAATTCCACCGAGCGTTCTGGGCTCCATCGACAGACATTTAGCAATTCCCAGCGTGCGCTCCATTTGACATTGCCAAGCTCTCTGGATGCCTTTCGGAAAGGACTTTCGCTTCGCCAGGAGGCATCAGAGCAGTGCTCTGAAGTCACGTACTAAACTAAACAATTATATATTACCAGGTAAGGCCCACTGAGGTGTATAACTCATTTCCAGAAGCGGCCTGGCCGTAAATGATAGCTCAACGAAGTGGCGTATCACGTGGATATGTATAGCAGCCAAATACTCTAAATACATGTTTCTAAACGTGGAGGGAAAAACCGGAGAACCGGGAAAAAAATCCACGTGACCACAGGCAGAGATACGTGCAAACTCCAAACATACAGGCATCAGGGCCGGGATTGAAACCCACGATGTCCTGTATATCAGGCGAGGTAGTTAACATTTCACCACCATGGCTGGTGTATCCATGGCTGGTGTATCCATTTATTTTGAAACCCATTCCAACTAAGGTTGAAAGCGTGTAAAGTACTGTATACATTAGCACTGTCCGTCAGTCCATTTGTAATAGGGGAGCGCCCTTGCCTATGAACATCTGAGAGTTTGCTAGCATTGGTTCAAGTAAGCACGACTCATGAAGTGCTGAACTTCAAAACCGGTACAGAGTTTGTGTTGAACCAAATGCTGCTGATATGATGCACTCCCGAAATGTCACGCGGCTGGTGGAACGAGTACTATATATTTTTTCATGTTGAGGGACAGACATTTGAAGGAGACAGATATGGGAAGGGACAGCTATTATGTTGTGTTATGTAGTATAACGTTGCGTTTGCTATTAGGGACCTGCTCTGATCAAACGTGGCCAAAATAGATCGTGGGGTCGCCCAAAACTTGAAGAGAAATCGGAGAAAAAAACCCGGTTTTCAAAAATACAAATGCATTCTGTCCTGACAGCTACTCCGTCGGCTTCCGTACTGCGAATTAAGTATTTCAAAGACAAAATGCACTTTGCAGAGCGTTACATAACCCACACGTATGCGTGATGTTTCCGAACTCGCACCATTTGTGGCAAACATCCCAAGAGACGCAGCTGAGGTGGTTATCGACAAATCATCAGCTATTTTGTTTTTTTTTAGCATGTCCGATTTTCATAGTATGTATGTATGTTTGATTTCTTTGGCATCGTACGTAGCCAACCGTGCTAATCGTATCGACGAACGTAAATCCATGGATCGTTGAAGAGATCTCTGTTAATTTGAACCACCCAGTGTGAGCCATGAGGAACTCCGGCTGCGTAACGGCGAGCACGCGCTGGACCTACAACCACCGAGGTTGCTGCTTCGATTCCACAGTGCGGCAGTCGGAATAATTGGGGAACGTTTCTTCAATCGTCTGCCACTTCCGTCCACCCCAGCGACACAGATGGGTGCACCGCAGTTAGTGGGTCGGCAGGTCGCGTTCAGGTGAACACATCTGGCTGGCGTTGAGGACTAGGTCAGGTTACCTTCCAGAGGGGCTTTCTAGAGTTCCCTCTCGTGGAGACCCTTCCACCAGCAGTGGCACGAGCAGGTAATTGCATGGCCGCACCTTTACCTTCAGCAAACGCTACAAAATGTAGTGTCATATTTTCACCTCGCAGTGCTGCCCCCTAATATTGCTGCCACATCGACTTATTTCCCAGGAGCCGCCGTGCTCCGTAGGGATGCGCTGCGATGCAGGCCGACGTGTTATTTCATCGGGAATGCGAACGGGTCTAAATGAGGCGGAAGCTGACAAAGAGAAAAAAAAACAATTGGCGCAAATTTGTTGAAGACGCTCGCCGCAACTTTCACTCGGGATAAAATAATAAGCGTAGATTTAAGCCCTTATGTCGTTCTTCTGCTGGATAAAGGAATTGCCATGATCTTTCAGTGATGGGAGTTATTTGACCATACTTGTGTAGTATCTTGAAGGAGACGGAGACTTCCTTTAGAGGCCACACGCTTTATTTCAATAACATCTAGACATCCTGACGCACTGGGGGAATAGCCTGACCACACAACCTAGGGAGGTACAGCCTCCACTCTATTCCTACTACTCTCCTTCCCTAGCCTACAGCTACTCAGCCCGGGGACGCTTAACGCCACCCTCAGCCCACTCAGTCCCAGCGGGGCGGCATCCTCGGGCTTGGGGTCCAGGATCTCCAGCGGCACCTTCCTTCAGCTTCAGACGAGATGGACTGACTCCCGCTCTCCGGGAGCCGTTTTATATATCCCCTCTCTGACGGGCGGGGCTGTCTCGGGGCCCCGTCTCTCGCCGGCCTCCCCCCCCTCAGAGCGGTTCCAACCGCCTCTCGGCCCGGCCGGTCCGGACCAGTCCAGACCGGTACGTACCCCTCCCCTAGGTTGTGTAACCTGTGTCCACCTTGACCACCACACTTGTAACGCTGGGCAGTGTGGGTTTGGTGAAGGTTGTGGGAGCACTCTGTATATATTTTTTAAATTAAATATCAATGTCATTATTTACCCAGGAAAGCGTCACTAAGCCTCAAGACATTTTTCAGGCGTGTCCTGCTTTGGGATGTTTGGGTATGGGAGGAATCTCGAGTCCCCCAAGAAAACCCACGATTATAAGTGGATTTCCCTCAAACATTTGCACAGATGTTGTATGTGTTTGTATGTCCCGCGTGTCTCAATACAATTGAAGTCTGGAGGTGACAGGGTGGCTCTGAGGTCAGAGTCGCTGAGCCAGCACACCTTGAGGACCTAGGTTTGAATCTGGGTTACAGCTAACCGAGATTAACCCGGGTTTTCAAGGTTTCATTTGTTATGGTCTCGTCCTGGTCAACGATATCGGCACAACAACAACAAAAACACAATCACATCAAATTCGGGTTTCCGCTTCATGTAGATGCATTCCAGCTCCGAGAATACTATTTTAAAAGCGCACAACTTTATCCATCTGTGATGAACGCTGCACTTTCTGTCGTTTTCATGCAGGGGGCGCTGCAAACCTACGCGTCCCCTGCATGAACGACGGAGGCGCAGGGACAGACGTTTGATTACGTTGGAATCGATCTGCAGACGGCGGTCTTCTCGCACGGCCAGCTCTATGTCACCTTATCTCGATCCCGCAATCCCAAACAGGTGAAAAGCCCGCATCTAACCGAACCCCCAGCAAGGCCATCAACTTAACAACGAGAGAAAATTCACACGAAATGTGCTTTTCAATTAAGCTTCCAGATGTAAAATAATATTAGCTTAAAGTTTGGCGAACGGCCGGCACTCTGCCAAAATCTCGATGGGATGTTTTTCGCCAACGCCCTGGCAGCAGACAGGCGGAGGTTTAGACGGCTGAAACCGATACGATAAAATCATCCCTCACACTAACAAAGTGTCTCCACCTTGCTGAAATAACTAATTAGGTGCATGTATTTAATAATGCATGATATCTTCATGGACACGCTCTACAATGATCCAATCAAAATGACACAGTGAAAATAAATGTTATAAAGGTTTTGATTGATGTTGTTGCTTTATCCACCAAGGTCAAACTGCTGTTTAAATATAATTATCATGAATGTGCCATGCTGCCGTGGTGTATTGGTTAGCACACGCGCCACGGTGGCGAAATGTGAACTACCTCGCCTGGTATACAGGTGGTCGATTCCGACCCTGACACCGGTATATTTTCAGTTTTGCATGTTCTCCCCGTGGTCGCGTGAATTTTTCTCCGGGTCCTCCTGTTTTTCCCTCCACATTTAGACACGTGCGTTTAGAGCATTTGTCTGCTATAAATGTCCACATTTGTGGCCAGGTCGCTTCTGAAAAAGAGCTATACAGCTCAGGTGAGCCTTACTGTCT